AGAGGCCCTATAGGGTCAGGGGCCCTTGTAGGCAGAGGATCAAAGAATGTAGGCCCTCTAAAATAGACAAACGAAAATACATTGTTGATAAGCGTTGAAAAATATTTTGGGCTAGGGGCCCCACGGGCCCCCTGCACCCCAAGGGCCCCTGGGCAGCGGCCCCGCTGGCCCAGTCCGAAATCCGTCCCTGCTTCTACTCCTTGTAGTGTGTCAGACCTGACTGCAATGACCGATCTTGCCGCGTTGGCGTTTCTCGTGGCAGACGAAATCGACATCGTGGAAATTCCCGTTTTTGATTGAAGAATTCGGTGAACAGCAAAGGTAATTTGAAACTGTCTAAAAATATGCATCATATCATATTTAAAACCTCATCCCTTTAGTTTCGGCTCACGGAACAGGGCAGATTAAATCTTAACAACTCCACAACTTTCAGATTCATTATTGTAATATAATATTTTTACTCAAATTTAAGATAAGTGGCGTGATTTTAGCCTAGATAAAGAAAGAAAGCTCAACCCGCGAGGGGAGGAGAAGAAAATGCATTTATTGTATCCCTTTCTCTAGGTGTGTTCCAAAAATTATTGGGTTTGTGGATGATGTCATCCCTCTATACAATCTGTCAGAGTTTAGGAGTCATTTCCGGCTTTCTAAAGGACAAGTAGAGGTGTGTATGACATTTTGAGGCTACTGTATTGTTATAGTTTATTATAACAATGTTTCCATGTTATCAATGACCTGTTTTCTCATATTTACTACCCCAGGATCACCACACTTGGTCCTGTTTACCAAAATCCCCTGAACACCAAAGTGCTCAAGCTCTGGTGGAGGATCCCTGATCCCTCATGCCAAAGGGTCTGCACATCATGGGAGACTCAGCCTTCCCACTCTTGCCTCAGTTGCCGAAGCCATACCGGGACAACGGACACCTCACAGACCAGCAAAAAAATAACAGGAAACTGAACGGTGCTCGTGTGGTCATTGAACAGGTATTTGGAATTCTAAAATCCAGATTACGCCGACTGAAATACCTGCAAATGGTAAGTATTCAGAAGATTATTTCAGCAGTGTGTGCCTGCTGCATCCTACAGTATACAACCTGACATAATTAACAATGAGGTCCTGGATGATGACATTTATCCACCTCAGCTTCTAACTGAACAGGCAGTTCATTACAGAGACACAATTTAGCAATAGTTTATAAAGGCCAAACCAAAGCCAAACACGCACCTCAGCCTGTTACATGTGCAAGCAACTGTTTATAGATATTAGCTCTGCCTTTAACACATTCATCCCTCAAAAGTTGATTGTGGAACTAAGTGGGTTAGGGCTGAACACCACTCTCTGCAAGTGGATTTTGGATTTCCTGACAGAGAGGCCTCGTTTTGTACAGTTACGTTGCAACACCTCCAACAGCATCACGGTACAGGAGCTCTGCAGGGCTGCATACTTAGTCCTCTGCTTTTCACCCTGCTGACTTGTGTGCTGCTACTGTATGCAGTCATAACACCAATCCCATCATCAAGTTTGCAGATGATACTACTGTGCTGGGACTGATAAGCAGAGACTGCATACAGAGAGGAGATGGAACGGCTGTCTGCATGGTGCAGAGACAACTTATCTCTCAACATTGAGAAGACATGAGATAATTATGGATTTTAGGAAGACTTTTCCTGTCCATACTCCACTCAGCATGAACGGGTCAGCTGTGGAGATCGTAAGGAGTACCAAGTTCCTCGGTGTGCACATTACTGAGGAACTTGCATGAACAGACACCCCTCCTCCATAACCAAGAATCCCAGCAGAGATTATACTCCCTGCGGCGGCTGAAACGGGCGAGGCTCCTCCCTTCCATCCTCACCACGTTCCACAGAAGCACCATCAATATTATTCTGATCAGCTGCATCAATACCTGGTACGTCAACTGCAATTCATTCAATTGCAAGTGCCTGCAGAGGATAGTTAAAACAGCAGAGAACACTATCGGGGTGCCTCTTCCTTCACTACAACACAAATTTCACAAGTGCAGTGTTCACAAGGCCGCATTGTGCAGGACTCCTCACATGGACTTTTCACTCTCCTGAGGAGAGGAGATTCTGCAGCATCAGAGCCAGGTCTGCCGGGTTGGTGGACAGTTTTTATCCCCAAGCTGTCAGGCTCCTCAACACTGTGCGCCCCCCTGGGATCTTCCACACTGCCTCATTCACCTCTTAAACTGCTGTGCAGAACTTATACACATGCACAGCCACTTTACTGTAATGTCCAGTTTGCACATAGACCAAAAGTACTGGAAACGGTTTACACTTGGTCTTAAACATATATTATCACACACTGCTTTCAGTACTGTAAGTCATGCTGCTATTCTGATAAACCTGATGTACGTATACTAGGGCCATACATTGTATTAATCTACACATTACTATGTGCCACACTGCTGCTACTTTTTTGTCTTGGTTTGCACAGTCTTTGTCTTTGTACAATGTTGTGCTTTTCATTTCTATTTGCTTTAAGTATTTGTTACACTGTGGACCCTGAGCTCTTCCACTTTCTTCTCAAAGCTTCTCCTCCTCCTCTCCTTCAGCCTTCTGAACCTCTCCAAATCTGGGCGCACAAGGCACTCCAGCACAGCTGTTCTCCGGTCAGCATTGACTTCGTATGACTCAAAGAATGATCCAGCTTGACTTGCTGGTTTCCTACCCGTGGCCCCGTCTGTAGCTGTTTTGGTTAAAAACAGCAGGATCAGGCTCTGGTGCTGAAGGCTGAGGGGTAGAGAGGGGCGTGGAGGGTATCGTGCCCTCTGGGGCGCTCCCAACTCCTGACTGGCCAAATATTTCACCTATAATCTGTGGAAACAAAGACAGGTTTAAGTCCAGCAAAGTGACATTAGCTAGAAATTCTGTAGTAATTGTTGGAAGACTCATACTATGTGACCTAATTAGTAGTGTACAGTTAAAATGGCATAATGTTAACATTTATATCAAGACTGGTAAACATTATTCTACTTACTGTGTAACAGTCCCAGTTGATTCTTGCTGCTCCAGTAGTCTGACATCTGTCTTTAACCCAGGGGTGTCCAACTCCGGTCCTGGAGAGCTATTATCCAGTAAGTTTTCTATCCTACCTGGCTTCTGATGAGCTACACCTGTTCCTAGTATTTACCTGAGAACAGGTGTGGCTCATCAGAAGCCGGGTATGATAGAAAACCTGCTGGAAGGTAGCTCTCCAGGACCGGAGTTGGAGACTCCTGTTTTAACACTTTTTGTAGGTTGCCAACATGTTACATATTTTCTTCCTTATCTGCTCCACTGAGCATTTGTGGTCCCTTTGTAACATGTCTTTATGGACTCCTTTATAAAAAGCTGGCTTATTTGTGTTGTAATGGGAGCAATGTTTTTTCTTTATTGTTACAAGCAGAAGAAATGTGAGCCGGTGTTTCATTTCTGAGAGGAAAAGATTGTACTGTCATTTCACAGTGTAAAATTTAATTGTGATTTTTCTAATAGGCACTATATCTGGTTGAGACTCTGAAATGTCTTGGTTTGAGTCCTCTTCCACAGCGCTAGGGCCTGCTGAGTGTGCTGCTGGTGGAAGGAAGTGAATGGCAGGGTTCAGGGGCCCAGGTGAGGTTGCAGCAGTGCGTCTTGGGGACGCAGATGATGCTGGCAGAATTAAAACAGGAGGCAGAGCAGAGGATGTGGTACTTATAACTATAATCATTTAACTGGTCTCCCATTGTCTAATAAAATGTTTTAATAAAACGAATACAAAAAGGAGCTTTACCTTGCAATATTGCAGATAGTCTAACCTGAGTTGCTAGACTAGCCAGGAACTCTTTATCTGAAAAACAAAAAAACAAAAAAACAAACACCATCCAAAGAGGGATTGGCAGTAGTGTTTGACCCAACTTGCCTTAAACAAGGATCAGCAAATGAAAGATTATTGTGTGCTCACCAGTCTTTAGCCAAACAAGAAACACAAACTAGTCAAACTACATTAAAAGCTTTATAATATTTTAGTAGATCCATAACGATATGGATCTAAACTACAAACAAAGACACTAACAAGTCTGGTAAAAATCTGATATTGCATGCTAGGATACTGTTTACGGTCATGATATGGTATTCTCTGAATCGACCACATGCAGTTACATTTATAACTATTAATACATTTTAACAAAATAAACATTTTTAAATATTTATAAAAATAGAATTACTGTTGACAGTGTAAGCCACCATGTTGAAATGTCACGGGAATCTCTGACAAGAAAATTCCGTCCGACGACAGTGTCAGAAAGGAGGCGTGTTTCCAACGGGAAGTGACGTTTTTCGTGACGTTTTTATCCGAGTTCCGACTCGTGGAGAGAGAATGGAACACAGGATAAGTTGGACAAAAAAAATCTAACCATGATGCATTGCGTCAGGACCAGAATGCATTGCTTTAAGTTACTATGAAGTCGAACGCACCCTATGTTGCTTTGGATAATAGTTCTGATAAAAATTAATGAAAAAAATTGACCTTCAACCTAAAACAGAATCAACCCATGACATTCATCACAGAAACTGGGTAACTCTACAGAACCAATTACTAAAAACTTATTTGCTTGAGACCAGAAATGGCGCAGCGTTACCTTATCAATTTATTCCCCCACCCCCCATCATTATCTGCCAGACTGCAGTTGAAGGAAATATCTCTGGTTCTCCCCGAGGTGAATAATTACTAATGATGACATTCATCTCAGGTGCACAGAGACCACTGCCTACATGCATAAAAACCTCGTAGGCGGGCATCACTTACCACCTTGGAAATTCATTCACCGGATCACTGTGTAAACCCAGTGAGTTGATCTGAATTAACATTACAAAAAAACAACATATACATACAAATTGGCATTTTTAAAAAACAGCATCTTTCGCGTACTCCTGCCAGATCGGGTTAGTAAAGATCGCATAAACAAAGCCGTATGCAGTGAAGTAACGGCGGATTTGAAAGCCGGAGCCTCCGGCGACCGTTTCCGGGGAACGGCACACGGGAAAACAGCAGAATGAGGCTTGAGAAAGCCAGGTCAGCCTCACGCCAAGGGATGACGAGAGCAGCTTGTCACCCTCGGCACAATAAAGCCTCACCAGATCTGAGGCGGCATCTGCAGCCGTTCGGCCTCCCCGGGAGATATGGGGGTGGGGGCAGCGGGGAACAATCAATTCCTAAATTAACACGGAGGGAGAGCGACGCCAGAGACAGCGAAGAGGCACACTTCACACACCCTTGGGAGTGCGCTAAGTGTGCTGGACAATTCCTATCGGAAAAGTTTTATGTACGATTTGTGAGGGGGAAAACTGTAATCTTAACTGCGGCTCGGCTTTTATGGATTTTTATTTTTGTTACACCAGGAAGATCAGCGGAAATAAGGGGGCCATAATTTTTCCACAAAGCCAGCAATAGCAGTGTCCTGGAAAACACTTGTGTTTATGACCAGGTTCATTTCAGACAGCTGGCTCTGCTCACAGCAGCATGTTTGAATTACTCTTTTAAAAGAATATATGAAAACTCTCTACTTGATTGTCCCTCACTCAGATATCTTCATCCATCCAACCATCCATCTTATAACCGCTTATCCTAGTCATAGTTGTGGAGAGGCAAGGGTTCCACTACATTTTGGGCCCCATGAAAGCATATCGTATTGGGCCCCTAACCCAGACCAACTCAGTTGTGTTCCAGATTTTGGAATTGTCTGAACTCCCCCCCCCCCCCTTTATGGTGCCCCTATATGTGTGTATCTGTGTGTGTGGAGGGGGGGACTGCAGACTCCTCTAGACAGTATAGGCTAGGGTTCAACCTGGATGGGATGCTAGTCTCATACACCTATCAGCCATAACATTAATATCACTTATAAGTAAAGTGAATAACACTGATTATGTTGTTACAATGGCACCTGTCAAGAGTGCTATTATATATTAGGCAAGTGAACAGTTAGTTCCTGAAGTTGATGTGTCGGAAGCAGGAAAAATGGGCAAGCATAAAAATCTGAGCAACTTTGACAAGGGCCAAATTGTAATGGCTAGATGACTACTTCAGAGCATTTCCAGGTACGCAGAGATCAGTACCTATCAAAAGTGGTCCAAGAAAGGCCAACTGGCAAAGCAGTGATGGGGTCATGGACACCCAAGGCTCATTGATGTGCATGGGGAGTGAGGGCTAGCCCATCTGGTTCAATCCCACCGGAGAGCTACTGTAGCACAAATTGCTGAAGAAGCTAATGCTGGCTATGATAAAAAGGCATCAGAACACACAGTGCATCACAGCTTGCTGTGTATGGAGCTGCGTAGCCGCAGACCAGTCAGAGTGCCCATGCTGACCACTGGCCACAACTGAAAGCACCTGCAATGGGCAGGTTAGCATTAGAACAGACCATGGAACAATGGAAGAAGGTAGTCTGGTCTGAAGATTCATATTTTCTGTTACATCATGTGGACATTGGTGCGTGTGTGTTGTTTACCTGGGGAGGCACCAGAATGCACTATGGGAAGAAGGCAAGATGGCAGAAGCAGTGTGACACTCTGGACAATGTTCTGCTGGGAATCCATGGGTCCTGGCCTTCATGTGAATGTTACTTTGATACACGCCACCTACCTAAACATTGTCGCAGACCAAATACACCCCTTCATGGCAACAGTATTCACAGATGTCAGTGGCCTCTTTCAGCAGGATAATGCGCCCTGCCACACTGCAAGAATTGTTCAGGAATGGTTTGAGGAACATGAAAAAGAGATCAAGGTGTTGACTTGGTCTCCACTTTCCCCAGATCTCAATCTGATTAAGCATCTGTGGGATGTGCTGGACAAAAAAGTCTGATTCATAGAGGCCCCACCTTGCAAATTACAGGACTTAAAGGATCTGCTGCTGATGTCTTGGTGTCAGATACCACAGGACACCTTCAGAGATTTTGTGGAGTCCATTCCTTAATGGGTCACAGCAATTTTGGCGGCAATATTAGGCAGGGGGTTTTTATGGTTACAGCTGATCGGTGAGTATCCACACTTTGCATGCAATGTAGAGACACCAATTAGCCTAATTTAATGTCTTTGGACTCCAGGAGGAAACCCAGGTGACACATGGAGAGCATGCAAGCTCCACACGCACAGAGTAGGGGTTGATTCAGCCCTCTCAGCCCTGGAGCTGCGAGCTTTAGTGTTATCCACCAAGCCCCAGTGCTGCCCGCCCCAGATATCTCTGCGTATTAAATCATATTCCCCCCTCAGTTTTCCACTGCATCCTATAAAAATTATACTGCATTTTATGCAGTCCTATCTTGCTCCCAAATATAGCTAGGGTGTATCAATTACAAATGTGAAGGAATTATAACAGGGATTTCTAATTTCCAGGGTATTTTTTTTGCCAATAAGGGGTAACTTTTCCTACAAACTGGTCCCTGTTCTCATCTGTTTCCACTCCAGCCTGGATGGTTCGCTGTGATACATTTATATAATTCCGTTGTCACTACCTCCGCCCGGGAAAGAGAGACCCTCAGTTTCCATTTCTGAAAATGACTGCCTACACATTTCCACAGCGTCAAGCGCAGCTTCCAAGTGCCCCCCCTACCCCCCCTCCTTGACTGTTGAAGGCGTCCCACACACTGGTTATATAAAAAAAAAATCACAAAGCATTGGGTTAGCTTTAAATCGAATGCGTCAGAAATGCCAGAATCTTCTGGCCTACTATAACCTGGGCCACTCGTGGCTTCCTGCAGGTGTCGTTATCCTGTCGCCCTGATACGACATTCTTCTATTTACATGCCTTGAAACGGAAGCTGAATGTCAAAAAAAAAAAACTACCTTTCACAAGATGTCCTCCACAGAGCTTGGTTGTATATTTGGTGCATTAAGTAGGGCATTCAAGATTGCTTCTGACCCAACTCACCCTAGATATGGTTTATTCAACGCTTTGCCATCAGGTAAAAGATAGAGAGCTGTATGTGCCTGCTCAGTCAGACTCAGCAACAGCTTAAACCCCATAGCTATTCCCCCTGTCATCACGAGGCCCACCCATTACACCATGCCCCCATCTTTCAGCTGACTGTCCTTTAATATATACGTTTGCACTACTATTACTGCACTATTGCTTAAATAGTGA